TATGTAAGTGCTGCACATTGAGTATAGGTGTGTAGGGAGTCTTGACAGTGTGCCTTCATCCTTCAAAAACTTAGAAATGACTTGGAACAGTAGCCGCCAAATCGACCGCAACACCATTGCGCGGTGATCTTGTCAGATCACTCCTTTCCTCGCCTCCTGCTCCTGCAAATGTATTTGAGGGGGGTTTCTTTACGGCGTTGGCGACGATTTTTCTGTCTCTTTCTCCACCAGTGACTCATATTGGAACCCAACTATCCAGAATATCTGAGCGCTGGCTTTGCCTCCAGAAAGGTCTGACAAAGCTTTGGAAAACGCGCGACGTTCTTGTTCTTACTTGTCCTGTTTGTTCTTGTTTGTTTGTTTGTTCTAGTATTTTTTCGCCACCGTTTCTACAAGGTTGTCCAGAATTTTTGCAGTGAACAAGTTAGCAGTATAGTCAGCAGTAAGAGCACTGATATTGACTGAAACTATCTGCTGTAAAGGGACTGCATGGCTTTGACGGAAAGTGATGGTAGCTGGCGTTTGGAGAATTGGAGAAGGATTAGTTGTAGCAATCGAATTTTCTGCTGTCAAAAGCTGCACAAAGCACGAAACGGATCTAGTCTTGTTGAGAAGTATCACCACCACGCTGTGGATCTGTTACTTTGCTCTGGCCCGGTTCGTCTAGACTGTGGCAAGACGACTTTTCGGAGGTCTAGCGCCATCGCTGAACCCCTGACCTTCCAACATTTCGTATGCTTACTTTGCGTTGTTGCGACTTTCACTATTGCTCCACGTAGGGAAGTGGTTTTGATGGCTTGCTCATCTATGGTATGTTACCAGAAGAGCACTGCCTCTTCACAAGACCCGGCATATAATGCTCCGTTTGTGGACCTCAAGTCTGGTCAGGTCCGTCATCAAAATATACGACGCGCCGGGCCCACTTGTCTTCCTGTGAAATGTTGGCCGACGCAGCTGCGTTCCTGAATTTTGATCGTTGACGGAGAGCAGAGCTCCGGTTCCCTATCTCATTCACTATAGTGGGAAACTCTGGGCACCGGTCTTTTGATTTCGGGTTGACTGCCGCTCACCGTATGTTCACACTGCTGTTGCATAGTCCAAGTCTCAGAGGCGAAAGTTAGGGCAGACAGGACCGCCGAGTCAAAGGAGTAGGGCACAAAACTGTTCGCCGTCTTTTCCGTTGCTCCCTCGATAATGCATCAGAAACAGGGCACATCATTAGTTGGAGATTTTGGTGGGGTACGTACGACCTATCCCCCTGAGAATTCGCTTTATTAGATGCTTTCAATCTTCTACCAATTCTGGCACTTCCTGAAAATTTTCCGAGTTTTCCCTCGAATTTCGCCCCGGTACCTAGTCGCACACGTGACTGATGGTACCTTTAGTAACATCAGAACACTGGACCACAATGCGCGGGCATTGCGCTTCAGAATTCTGAATTCTTGGGTCTGCGTCCTTTAAATAGGAGCTAGGGCGAGTTCGTTCATATATACTCGAAATCCCTAAGATCGGGTAGGCGTGGCTGCGTACTTGATTAAAATGGCGGCGGCCCAGGTTTTCGTGAGATATTGTCATTTTGGAGCAGTCGTAATCATGTCTACATCTAACACAGAACAAGATAGCAGTTGTTTCAAATTGAAGTATCCCACGAGAAACCCGTCCTATGCCATGCTCAAAAGCCACGCCTACTCCGTCTCAGGGATAAAGAGTGTACCTTCAAGTGAAGGACGCTTGTCAATAAAGCCATAATTTTCTCCAAGGGAAGACTATTCAAAAAAAGGAAAACACTGTTGTAATGAAAAAGATTTAAGCTCCCCGAAATATACTGAAATGTTCATAAAGGTTGTCTGTTTCAGAGAGATATTCAGCGTTGGAGATTCGTTGAGGGATTTTGAAACTCGATTCAAAGTGTTCTGCTTCGAACGAGGACAGGTTTATTCCAACTCCACTGCTTGCAGAGACAAGAGCAGTTCTGAAATGAGCAGAATTCCCTTTTTCTAAAAACTACCTAGATTTTTTCTGAAGCTCCCGAGGTCCATGATGTAAATGCGTTAGGGGTTTTTCGAAGGAAACTTCGAGCTGTGGTTTCCTGTGTACCGTTTCAACTGAGCGTATTTGAATACCAAGCATGCATCTGGACGGATCCCTCCGTGGAATAGGAGTAAGCAATTGTTGGTTTAGCGCCCATTAGCTTCATTTCTGGATGCGCCATGCATTAGGCTCCCACGCAGACGCAGTAGGATGATGCAACTTCTACGTAGTGCCTGCCTACGCGAGCAGATGTGTTTATAGGATTCAGGAAAGTTCTGTTGTTCTTTCTGTTCCTTTTGCGTTTTGTTCGCTGTGGATGAATTGACGTGTTCGCCCCATCAATCGCGTTTGGCGCAATTGGTGGAAAACAGTTTTGGGGCACGCCGCCGAACCCGGGCTTAACCAATCGCTGAGACGGATAAGCGACAGCAACTGCTGGAAAACGACTTGATACGAGCGATACGATAGTCCTGCGTCCGCTGAAAGAAAAAACAGCTTAGCGCCGCGCCAAACGCAGTCGGTTCAGTCATCTGGTACTTATGAGATTATGTCCTCATTTTGATACTTCTACTAATTATAGATTAGTCTAAGCAATCAAATTTTTGTACTGTTACATATCCAGGTTCTCTACAAAGCTAGTTTCGCTACACAGGACTCAGCATATGGACAGCTTTGCGCTGTTCGGTACAGACAGCGTCCCTCCCCCATTTCCATAGTTGAAAACGATGTTGGGGAATCCCCCAACCATCATGTGTCCTGCGCATTCCTTCATATGATTCTTCGCTACCACTACGTTACACATCACCAAATCCTCCTACCCTACGTACACATCACCAATTCCTCCGGAGATGTTCGTTCCATTAGCGAGCATGGCGCATCAGAAGCCAGTCCGCTTTTCGTGAACATCGTCTTCGCAAGATTTAACTCCAAACCAACTTTCTACACGCACAATTAAAAAGGCCAGCATTATGCTTCTAACATGCGATGAAATCGTCTATCGTCGCAAGTTTGCTTCTCATCACAAAGCTTCCGAGATAAGCCAGTTCTCAGTTCTCACGTAGTGCTCACCCTTTTCGACCGTCCCTCCAACGATTAGCCTTTCAGCTGATAGACGTGCACGCATGTTATGATTTGGGAACTCCGTCTTGAAGGTCCTGAATATTATCCAGCTTGTCACACGAATTCGACGATAACCACAGTCCTAAGCGAGAAAACTGAATTGAACAATACTGGTCAAGAACCATGGGTTGACCTAGTAACATTTATTCTGATCAGGTCAATTCTCAATTGGTAATTTTTGTGGTGCATGAATTTTTCGGCAGGAAGCTCGAGCAAAATCACATGTTTGGTTCCAGTGTGAATACCATAGCCAAACTTGCAACAACGCAGCTACATGTATGTAACCTCGTCATCCGGGCAGTTGATTAGGGCGGTCGTCAACGGGCCGCAGCGCGTGCCAGGAACTATTTGCTTTTTCCAGGCTAATTTAGTCATTTTTTCCACCTTGTGAAGATAAGGAGCTGCTAATCTGGGAAAAAGTAGCCAAAACAGTGAAAAGTTGGAAAAAATGACTAAATTAGCCTGGAAAAAGCAAATAGTTCCTGGCACGCGCTGCGGCCCGTTGACGACCGCCCTAATCAACTGCCCGGATGACGAGGGTACGTGATTGTGATGATTTGATACTTATTAAGGCTAGAGAGTGGTGGGGTCTCGATGTTAGTGTTATTGCCAAACGTTGTTGTTGGCAAATACGCTCTGTATCCCACGTTGTGAGGGTCCTAGTTGGAGACTCAGGGTTGCGCGTGATAGTGGCTCATGAAGTTCTGCTTCTTTTTGATAGTACTCGACTTCGTCAAGCTGCGTAATTTCTCAATCTCTCTCATTAGATTTAAAGCAAGCAGTGAAATTCTTTTTGACAGGAGCTACCACTTTTTCAAGGCTACTGTCACGCACGCCAAAGAGTGTGCAATTACGACCACTCTTTCTCCACGTTACAGTTTACATTGTGACGTCTATCAGGGAATCGAATAGATACCAACCTGAGATGATGCACGAAATTCTCTTTTTATTATATAATTGTGCTTACATTATATATGTACTGAATTCCACGACATTTTAGAGCGATTTATAAGATCAACAACTACACGAATTATGGCGAAGTGAACTGTCTGGTCTTTATTTCAGCGCAGTAAGCTTTTTCAATTTTTTGTGTCTATATTTGTGAGCATGTAAGAAATTATCAATTCAGAAAATAAAACATAGGTATAAAATAGAGAACAGAATAAGAATCAATTTTTGGGAGTTGTTCTCTTTTTGTGCTTTGTTATGCTTCCATGATTTTAGAAACATTCAGTCTGCAGCAGGAGCAAGTACATCGCCCTACAAGACGCTTGGAAGTGATTAGAAGAACAGGGGAATTTTTTGAGAGGAAGACTGAAACGGAGTGCGAGAACCTGTGCCTTTGGAAAAATCGTTAGAAACAAAAAAAAATCGCGAATGAAGTGTTAGAAAAGTGGCTGTGAGGCACTTACCCTAAAACTTAATTCTTACGAATTCGTTAAAAGACGATTCATCGAGTGAAAAAGGCCTCATGAGGCCGAAAAGGTAAGAAGGGGGAAAGAAAAGAGCTGAAGACCTTGCGCGAGTGAACATCCCCAAATCTCTCTCACAAACGAGAAGCTATTCAGAAGAAGAAGGCAAGGCGTTGCCATCGGTCTGCGCAGTGGCAGTAGGGATGAAATAAGCTTTTCCACGGGGCTTTTGCAGAAGGTTTTTCTCTGTCTAAATCGGTATTGGTGAAGGACAGAGCCCCACGCTGGCAACTTCATCAACAATAGCTTTCAATTTCTACAAAATGTGGAGAACTGATGGTACCTGCAATCAAAGGAGACTTTCAAAATTCTTTAGATGCGAAAAGGAAACTCATATTCCACAGTCCGTTATGGTGTGGGCAGCGTGGGCAGCAATAGTCTTCCTTGCGGAGCTCAGCTTTACTTTGACACAAAAATTGAAACAGTGCCGCAATCTATAAGATCGAATTCTGGAATATTCAGTATTCCCAAAGGATGGTGGAAGGGTTTACGAAGTTGCCAAAGAAACAATCAAGGTTACAGGCTGCCTTCCCAAATGGCGGTCACTAGCTAACAGCGCATAGAAGAACAGTAGTGGTGTAAGATCAATTTTTTTATCAAAAGAATTTCAGTCGCCAAATTTACTCGATCTCGAACTCTCTATGGAATTGGCTACCTGGCCCATCTTGAGGGGGAGGGTCTCGTTTTCCAGCTCAGATCACTGGATCTGCTGAAAGGAGCCCGATGAAGGGGTGGGACATAGATTCCCCAGCAGTGATCGCGCACATACTCAAGAATTCTTGAAAGGGGTTGGATGTTTGTGTTGATGCTGAGGACGCTCGTACTGAATTGGTGTGTGAGATTGTTAGTGTAAGTTCCTTGCCTACTGGATGAACTATTCATCTGGTTATATTTAAATAGACTGTGCAAAGTTGAAGACAATCTCCTTCTTCACACACTGTGAACCTCTCTGGTCCTCACAAATCCCTAATTGCCGCGAAAAGAGTTCAGTTTCCAGACTTAACACAACCAAATTACCTGAACTGAATCCTACGAGTATGGGCTCCAGTGCGACTATTGTTGCTGTTGGCTTCAACGGTGGGTTGAATATTACCGTATAGGTCACTCCATCAACTAAGCCTGAATCGCAATAATTTCAGGGACCGACTTGACAGGAATTGTTGATCAAAGGGGGACTGCAGTCAGTGTTCCCTACGAGTACAATGCAACAGACGCACAAAATGTCGTTGAAGCTGTACTTAATACTTGAATAGTTGCAACTATGCCTTTTATTTTTTTAACTTCCTTGTTGTTTGGTTAACGCAGTATTATGTCGAAAGCATAGATGTGCCGAAACAGCCTTGTAAAGTTGTCGTCTCGGATAGCAACTGTAACTCCAAAAGTCGCCATTTTAGGTGAAATCACGAGCATGTGTATCAAGAATGGGGAAAAGGTGAAAGAGCATCTGCTGAAAATATTCTCAATCAGGGTACAGCATCGTTGTGTAAAACACAAAGGGGCTCGTGCTTGCCGATGGGGAGAGGGGGAGGTCGTGTTACGTTTGAGAGAAATTTGCCGCATTAGGGAAATGTTTTTCTGGTTGTTCACTTTTCGCGGTTTTTCCCGCTTCAAATTTGATATATAACCCCTTGTTGATGGCAAGTTCTATATAGCTGCCATTTTCGATATTTGAAAGTAGTAGTTGACTTCCGACTGAACCCGGAAAATCTTTGGCTAAAAGTATGAAATTCCGCAGAAAATTGTTAAGGGGACAGGGCACATCATTGGTTGAGGAATCCCCATAGGGGGGGTCGTATTTGGCCGCCAGGAGAGGGGGGGGGTCGTAATGAGGGCGGTAGCCAGTATCGAGCAGCGCAAAGGTCTCAGTGTGCTGAGTGC